TATGCTTGTAAGTTTTTTCTTGATTGTGTTACCATGTTTCTGCTACTAAATATGTATGTCAACTTAAATTTTAATATTTAAAGTTCCTGTGACAATAAGATTCTCTGTTTTCAATTTGGTCCAGAGGAAATTTATCATCACAATTACTGGCAGTACACAATCACATGTATTACATTAAAAAAAAAAAATCTCCATTTTCACTTAATCCTATGTATTTCTTCAAGAAGGATACAGATGAGTATGTTGACCAGGCTGGTCTTGAATTCCTGAGGCCTCAAGTGATCTGCCTGCATTGGCTTCCCAAATTGCTGGGATTATAGGCTTGTTTGTTTTTTGTTTTGAGATGGAGTTTTGCTCTCGTTGCCCAGGGTGGAGTGCCATGGCATGATCTTGACTCACTGCAACCCCCGCCTCCTGGGTTCAAGGGATTCTCCTGCCTCAGCTTTCCAAGTAGCTGGGACTACAGGCATGCACCACCATGCTCAGCTAATTTTTGTATTTTTAGTAGAGATGGGGTTTTGTCATGTTGGTCAGACCGTTCTCGAACTCCTGCCTGCAAGTGATGTCCCATATATGTAGCATATACAGTAGCACGCGCATATATATATATATATATATATATATATATATATAATTTTTTTTTTTTTTTTTTTTTTTTTGAGACGGAGTTTCGCTCTTGTTATCCAGGCTGGAGTGCAATGGCGCGATCTTGGCTCACCGCAACCTCCGCCTCCTGGGTTCAGGCAATTCTCCTGCCTCAGCCTCCTGAGTAGCTGGGATTACAGGCACGTGCCACCATGCCCAGCTAATGTTTTGTATTTTTAGTAGAGACGGGGTTTCACCTTGTTGACCAGGATGGTCTCGATCTCTTGACCTCGTGATCCACCCGCCTCGGCCTCCCAAAGTGCTGGGATTACAGGCTTGAGCCACCGTGCCCGGCCAGTAGCATATATTGTATATACTCACTTACTGTCTTAAAGCAATCTTGGCTTCCCATAGTGCTGGGATTACAGGCTTGAGCCACCATGCCTGGCCCGCTTTTATTTTTTCTTAGTGTGTCCTGTTATCTTCCTGTATCAGTAACATGAAGTGCTCTCATTTTTTTATTAGTGTGTACTATTTTACAATATTATAATGAATCTGTTGGTGGACATTTGCTGATTTTAAGCAGTGTCATAATAAACATTCTATTTATATTCACGTTTTTATACTTTTATGTCTCTGTGAACTAAAGACTAAATACCTAAAATGGATTGTTGAGTATTTCAGAATTTGATAGGCTGCCAAATTGTCTCATAAAAAGGTTGTTCCTGGCTGGGCACGGTCGCTCACTCCTGTAATCCCAGCACTTTGGGAGGCTGAGGTGGGTGGATCACCTGAGGTTAGGAGTTCGAGACCAGCCTGGCCAACGTGGTGAAACCTCATCTGGGGGTGGGTGGGGTGGGGGGTTGCTTCTATATACATTCCTCCAAATGATGAAATGAAATTACCCTTGTCAGCACTGATTATCAAATTTTAAACAGGTTTTATCACTCTGATAGCTGCTCTCATACCACTTGCAGGATATCAGTTTTTCTAATTTCCATTTTCTTGTAATATGCATTTTTTAATGAAGGAAGTTTTTTTAAAATATGCATTCTTTCATGAGCTAGGAAGAATAAATCTTACAAGCTTATTGTGTGAATGTGAAAGGGAATTTATTTATGCCAAATGTGGGATGGAGCATATTTATGGCATCTCTCTGGATAAGTAAAATGCAGTTTGTGAAGACTTAGCAGGGTATATGTTACATAGTGGGTATTTAATACAATTCTGTTGTCTTTCATTTCTTTTTTTTCTTTTTTCTTTTTTTTTTTTTTTTTTGAGACGGAGTTTCGCTCTTGTTACCCAGGCTGGAGTGCAATGGCGCGATCTCGGCTCACCGCAACCTCCGCCTCCTGGGTTCAGGCAATTCTCCTTCCTCAGCCTCCTGAGTAGCTGGGATTACAGGCACGCGCCACCATGCCCAGCTAATTTTTTGTATTTTTAGTAGAGACGGGGTTTCACCATGTTCATCAGTATGGTCTCAATCTTTTGACCTCGTGATCCACCCGCCTCGGCCTCCCAAAGTGCTGGGATTACAGGCTTGAGCCACCGCGCCCGGCCAGTCTTTCATTTCTTTGTTTCCTTCTTTTATTTAAATCATATTCTCTTTTTGGACTGCCTTGTTCTTTTAGGTGATTCTTTTTGTTGTTCCTCTGAAGTAACAGAATGAATGATCTTTTCAATGAGAAATTTGTGTGAAAGATTTCTTCCTTGTATTTATAAGGACCAAGGGGTTGGACAGCATGTTTGTGGTCTTCCAAAGGAAAATCTTGCATTTTGTATTTCAGTAGCGTTTATTGTAGATACTCACTTGTTGTCTTAGGAATAATAATCTCTGAATTCTTGGGTCAGCAAGGTGACTGCAGAGCTAGGCTGGTTTCTAACATTGTTAGATATAGTCAGAGACTTTCATAAAATGTTGTACATCCTCAAATTGATTTTTGTTGTCAATGCAATTTCAAATAAGATCCCATCAAGAATTTTGGCATAAATAAAAAGCTGATTTTAAAATTTATATAGAAAAGCAAAGAAATAAAACAAGGCCAGGTGCAGTGACTCATGCCTGTAATACCAACACTTTGGGATGCCAAGGTGGGAGGATTGCTTGAGGCCAGGAGTGTGACCAGTATGGGAAACACAGGGAGACCTTGTTTCTCCAGAAAATAATAATAATGAAAAATTAGGCAGGCATGGTAGCATGTACCTGTGGTCCCAGCTACTTGGGTGGCTAAGGCAAGAGGATCACCTGAGTCTGGGAGGTTGAGGCTGCAGTGAGCCATGATCGCACTACTGCACTCCAGCTTGAGTGACAGAATGACGGAATGAAACCCTGTCTCAAAAAGTAAAAAAGTAAAGGGAAAAAAAACATTTTTGGAAAAGACCCAAGTTGGAGGACTCATATTACCTTATTTAAGACTTCTGGCCAGACACGGTGGCTCACGCCTGTAATCCTAGCACTTTGGGAGGCTGAAGTGGGTAGATAACCTGAGGTCAAGAGTTCGAGACCAGCCTGGCCAACATGGTGAAACCTTGTCTCTACTAAAAATACAAAAAAGTTTAACTGGGCATGGTGGCATGTGCCTGTAGTCCCAGCTACTCAGGGAGGCTGTGGCAGGAGAATCAATCACTTGAACCCAGGAGGTGGAGGTTGCAGTGAGCCAAGATCGTGTCACTGCACTCAAGCCTGGGCAACAGAAGGAGACTCCCTTTCAAAAAAAAAAAAAAAAAAGGACTTACTATACAAATATAGTAATTAAGACAGGATGGTATTGGCAAAATGGATAGACTTACAAATTGATGGAACAGAATACTCCAGAAATAAACCCAAATGTAATATGGTCAGTTTATTTCTTTACAAAGGTAATTCAGTAGAATAGAGATGACTTGTGCTGGGCCTGGTGGCTCACTCTTGTAATCCCAGCACTTTGGGAGGCCTAGGTGGGCAGATCACAAGGTCAAGAGATCGAAACCATCCTGGCCAACATGATGAAACCTTGTCTCTACTAAAAATACAAAAATTAGCTGGGCGTGGTGGCAGGCGCCTATAATCCCAGCTACTCGGGAGGCTGAGACAGGAGAATCACTTGAACCTGGGAGGCAGAGGTTACAGTGAGCCGAGATTGTGCCACTGGACTCCAGCCTGGTGACAGAGCAAGACTGTCTCAAAAAAAAAAAAAAAAAAAAAAAAAAAGAATACAGATGGCTTTTTCATCAAATGATTATGTAATAATTCGATGTCCATGTACAGGAATAGAAACTTAGACCTGCATAATTACACCATATGCAAAACAACTCCAAATGTATGTAAATATGAAAACTATTAGACTTCTAGCGGAAAACGTGGAAAAAACCGTGTGACGTACTTCATAAAAATTTAAAACTTTTGTTCTTTTTAAGACAGTTAAGTAAATGAAAAGACAGTTTAAGTTAAAAACAGGAAGAAAATTTTTACAAAATTTATCTGATAAAGGACTGATATTCAGAATATATAAAGAATTTTTAAAACTCAGTAAGAAAATAAAGAATTCAGTTTTAAAATAGTCAAAAAACTTTGATCATTCAAATCACCAAAGAAGACAAAGGAATGGCAGAGAAACACATGAAAAGAGGCTCAACATCCTTAGTCATTAGGGAATGAGATACAATTCCCTTAAAATTAAAAAAAAAAGAGTCCTGCTTCCAGAAGTGCTGCTGATTACCTCCATGCAGTTCTCATCTAGGAGCAATTATGATACCCTGGATTTCCTGTGTGGGAATTAATAGTTAATAAATGGCCTCAGCTGGACACAGTGGCACATGCCTGTAATCCCAGCACTTTGGGACGCTGAGGCAAGTGGATCATCTGAGGTCAGGAGTTTGAGACTAGCCTGGCCAACATGATGAAATCCTGTCTCTACTAAAAATACAAAAATTATCTGGGCCTGGTGGCAGGTGCCTGTAATCCCAGCTACTCAGGAGGCTGAGAAGGAGAATTGCTCGAACCCTGGAATGCCATTGCATTCCAGCCTGGGCTACAAGAGCAAAACTGCATCTCAAAAAATAAAATTAAATGCCTCATATTCTTGGAGCATTTGATTTGAATTGCTGATACTAAACCTATGGTGCTTCATGATGATTTTACTGAATTTAATAGTTTTCTTTGACAATGTACAGAATAAAAAAGATTTAGAATTGCTATTAGGAAGGGCTCTCCTGTGGAAGTGGTACTTAACAGAGCTTGGGTGCCCTAGGAATTAATAATTCTGATCTGTTCTGTTTCTGGGTTTTCTTTTATTAAATCTTTAAATTTTGAACAGTTTTAATTGCTTTAACCTAATGCTACAAAGAATGAGATAAACTCAATTAATATACAGTAGTTGGATCTGTTTTTCATTTTTCTGTCTGTCACAATGGGTAATTATTTGTCACTGTTGCAGATACTCCATCTTCTAAACCAACACTGCTAGCCAATGGTGGTCATGGAATAGAAGGGAGCGATGATACTACAGGTAAGTGATTGATTCTCAGGATTCCCCAAATATGTAGGTGATGCACTTACAGTGAATACCTTGATAATATCCTTTGAAGAGTGTTATTAATGGAAGCATATGAATTATTTCTGAGTGTTCTTGTTGGGTGTATTTACACCCAGGACATTGCTATGTAAAATCTCCAATAATGGAAGGTGAATAATGAGTTTCCTCTGATATTTTTTGAGTATTTGTTGGAGCTGTACCACACAAGAGCTGGATCAATCTTAAAATACTTTTATAGATACAGAATAATAATAACCAAAATATGTTACATGGGAGGCATTTGGCCACTACAGCTCTTTGAAGCAGCAGGTCTCTTCCCTGAATGCACATTGCATTTAGCTTTCCACAGTTCAATGTTAGAATGCCTATGAGCAACAAATTAGGAGTTCTTTATTTTGCCCCCAGTGTGTTTCCTTCATCTTTCCCTTAACTGTTGCTTTTGAAATTTACTTCTAACTAAACTCTTAGCTCTACTAGGGTTTTGATATTTTCAGTTAGCACTGAGTTTCTGTGGATTCCTGTCTCATAACCAGCAGCAACTCCCTACCCCAATGTCTTTGTAGTGAGCAAAATTCTCAAAGCAGTAGCAGGAGTCTCAGGAATATACTATATAAATATTTTCTTAATTAGCTAATGTGAGAGTTGTATATTTTATTTTCATAAATACCTGCATTTACTTTGCAGTTGTGACACTGCTGACCAAATGCATAGACTTACAATGATCAATCCCGTTGTTTCCACAAGTGTGCTCTTAACTGGGCTGTAACATTTGATTCACATTACTGCAGTGGAGGCAGTTACTAGATTTATCATGTTTCTGTATTTCTCTTACATGCATACCTCAGCTAGAAGCCCTTCTGTGAGCCACCACAGGATTTCTCTGTTTCTAAGGCTTCCAGAAAGCTTTCTGTTAGCAGTAGCAGCTATTCTAGGATTTACTTGTTATTCTTTCACCATAGCAAAGTTGTGTATATCTTTATACATCAGATTTTTTGATGACTAAGTTCCTTTTGTTGTGAATGTTTACTAAGTGACATTAACATCCTTATTAGCAACTTAATAAATTACTCTTTACTTTAGAAGCTAGAAACAACCAGAAGTGCCACTTTATCTTCTAGTTTTGTGAACTGAAGTTTGTATTTCTTTGATAATCTCAGTCAAATGTATGACTTCCTGTGTCTGCTTTGAAAGCAGTCATCTATGTGATGTGGTTTTTGAGAAAACATTTATGCAAATGTCCACGTGATTAAAGGAAAAGAAGTTTGAACATGAACTTTTAAAATAATGAGTATATTCGGCTTTCTTTAACCAAGAAATAGTTAACCGGGGTAAGGAAAGGCTGGAGGGGATTGATCTGATTAGCCAGTTGAAAAAGTGGATGCTGGCCAGGCGTGGTGGCTCATGCCTGTAATCCCAGCAATTTGGGAGGCTGAGGCAGGCGGATCACAAAGTCAGGAGATCGAGAACATCCTGGCCAACATGGTGAAACCCCATCTCTACTAAAAATACAAAAAAAAAAAATTAGCTGGGCGTGGTGGCGTGTGCCTGTAATCCCAGCGACTTGGGAGGCTGAAGCAGGAGAATTGCTTGAACCAAGGAGTCAGAGGTTGCAGGAAGCCGAGATTGTGTCACTGCACTCCAGCCTGGCGACAGAGCAAGACTGCATCTGAAAAAAAAAAGGTGGATGCCATTTTCATCCAGGAAGGAAACAACTACCAAAACTAGAGTAGATTTCTTCTCCAGTAGGAAGTCATGCCTAATCAGAAGAGACTCAAACTCTGTGTAGCAGGTGCTCACCACTGCCAGGTCTTAATAGCACAAAAAAAGAACAGGAAAAACTTATATCCTGACCCTCACTATTTCAAGATTTCCTTGTGACAAAAAAGAACCTGGCTGTTTATGAACTGCTCAGTGGCATTGTGAGAGTAGGTCTTTCTGTTCTTGAATATCTCTCTGCCCTTAGGTAGCATAGAGTTTGCACACCTGGGTTGTTTGAGTTCTGAATTTAACCACTTAACTGTATTAAAATAGATACTTTACTGAAAATATGCATGTTTTATTGGGGGAGATAAAGTGGAGGGAAGGGGTGACAGTGCATGTTTTTGAAGCATGTTGTGACTTCATTCTAATTGGCCATCACTTCCTGGAGCAATGCCATTTTGAAAATTCCCGTTTCTATTTCCTTCAGAATGTTATCTATAGTCTCTAGAGCAGGCGTCCTCAAACTTTTTACACAGGGGGACAGTTCACTGTCCCTCAGACCGTTGGAGGGCCACCACATACTGTGCTCCTCTCACTGACCACCAATGAAAGAGGTGCCCCTTCCTGAAGTGCGGTGGGGGCCGGATAAATGGCCTCAGGGGGCCGCATGCGGCCCGTGTGCCGTAGTTTGGGGACGCCTGCTCTAGAGCAAACCAGCTTAATTAATAGCTTGGGTTTATGAGCATCTTGTGATATTGAACTTGCTGTTTACTAATGACCTGTGCTTTTCCGCCCTTTCCTTCCCCTTCCTACTTCTTCCTCCCTCTCTGTTTTTCTCCTCCTAGAAGCCTAGCGTGTCTCTCAACACTGGGGCTGCTGCAACACCAGACCAGTGATCTTTCCTAAGCACCGTTATACTTCTAAAACCTTCAGCATTTAGCAGAGCTTTGCTTTTCCTTCTGGACACGATGTAGAAGAAACTGAGGGTAGTTCCTCGGGGCCTATTTCTGCTGATGCCTGAGCAAACAACCTGCTTCCTCTTGTGCTCTGCAGGGCTTGATGGAGCCTCATTTCCCTTTGTGAACACAAAGTACAAAATGAATTCTTTTTAATTTTAGTAATTTTTACAAAGGTTATTTAATGTCTTTTAATTCTTGTTTTCTTTACAATTTTATTTTATCATTTGATTCATTCTCACATTTTTTTTTCTTTGAATATTTTTAGTTGACCTTTTTCCCTTTGGTTTTCAAATCTTCACCATGAATCAGGATAGCGTAACACCAAATGAGAACATGTGCTTTCATAAAGGGGTTGAGGCCACCAGTACTGCAGTGAATTTCCTTTTCCTCTCCCTCCTCTTTTCCTCTGTGAGCTTGCTTTTAGGGAAGGTTAATCTTACAGGTTACCTGTGTTTCTCTTAACCTTAACTTATCATCTGAATAATGATAGTTACTTTAAGTTTTCAAATTCAGAATAGTTGAGTAATCCTAGAATATTTTTTCAGATTAAATTATCTTTATTTACAAATTGGGCCAAAATTGTTTTTATTATGAAATTATGATCTATTTGTCTAGGCTTAGATTCTCCTAAAAATTTAACAACCCTATTGTGTGAGGAATTTTTTTTTTTTTTGAGATAGAGTCTTGCTCTGTCACCCATGCTGGAGTGCAGTGGCATGATCTTGGCTTACTGCAGCCTCAGACTCCTGGGTTCAAGTAATTCTGCCTCAGCCTCCTGAGTAGCTGGGACTACAGGTGCGTGCTGCCACGCCTGGCTAATTTTTGTATTTTTAGTAGAGCCGGGTTTTCACCATGTTAGCCAGGATAGTCTTTTTTTTTTTTTTTTTTTTGAGACGGAGTTTCGCTCTTGTTACCCAGGCTGGAGTGCAATGGCATGATCTTGGCTCACTGCAACCTCTGCCTCCTGGGTTCAGGCAATTCTCCTGCCTCAGCCTCCTGAGTAGCTGGGATTACAGGCATGCGCCACGATGCCCAGCTAATTTTTTGTATTTTTAGTAGAGACGGGGTTTCACCATGTTGACCAGGATGGTTTCGATCTCTTTACCTCGTGATCCACCTGCCTCGGCCTCCCAAAGTGCTGGGATTACAGGCTTGAGCCGCCAGGATAGTCTTGATCTCCTGCCTGGTGATCTGCCCAAGTCGGCCTCGTAAAGTGCTGGAATTACAGGCGTGAGCCACCGCACCTGGCCCTTGTGTGAGGAATTTTATAACCAGTTACTTTCTGAACATGAACTATCAAAATAAGAATTAGGAAGTTAAAGAAAATGTAGGCTGGGCTCGATGCCTTACGCCTGTAATCCCAATACTTTGGGAGGCCAAGATGAGAGGATTGGTTGAACTCAGGAGTTCAATACCAGCCTGGGAAACATAATGAGATTGCTATACAAAAAATAAATAAATAAGAAAATGGAACTAAGTTATAATGTTCAGTGTTCTTGAATCCCTTATCATTAGAATATTGGGATGTTAATACAGATACAAAATAATTTTCTATACACAACAGAATGAAACTAAGTTGTAACATGTTTAAAACCCACAACCAATTTATTAATAGCAGGTTTCTAATGAAATTATTAAGGATTCAAACTTTATTTAGAACTTTGGAGGTATCTTTTTATGTAGCATGCCAGTGGAGATTGGTGGATCACACATCAAGACTTATGTGTAAAGTCCTGTCTGTGAACATTAACATTTTACATTCACACATTGTAAGGGTTGTTCCAGTGGGACTTTCTTATTCTCATTCCTCATTTTTTCAGATTAATTGCTTAAAAGATCTAGAACTATTTGAGATAAGTACTGTACAATGGTAAGCTTGTATTGGATTTATAGATATATAACATAAAACATGGACCATGTTTTGAAATCTTAGAGGAATTCTGGTTTAGGATCTGAAAAACTTTAAAGTTTTCTATCCTCTTACTGATGATGTAGGTTCTTATAACCCCCAAAGTACAGATTATTTCAACTTAAAATAAATAATTGGCACCATGTTCTGGGAAAGATTTTGAGATATATATTGTTTTTTGTTTTTGAGACAGGGTCTCACTCTGTTGCCTAGGCTGGAGTGCAGTGGCGCAATCTTGGCTCATTGCAACCTCTGCCTCTCAGGTTCAAGTGGTTCTCCTGCCACAGCCTCCCCAGTAACTGGGATTACAGGCATGTACCACCACACCGGCTATTTATATTTTTAGTAGAGACAGGGTTTTTACCACGTTGGCCAGGCTGGTCTTGAACTCCTGATCTCAAGTG